GCCTCCACTGAGATGGCAGGAAAGGATCCCGGTACTGAAGTGAATCGGAACCGCAGCATCCCCGCCATGCTGATGTAGGTGTCACTGAGATGGAGAAACCACCTGATGAAGATGAACGAAGAGCGACTACTCAAATAACTCCTCACTGATATGTCTCCGCGGGTGCCCGCCGACAAGGAGGACAAAAAGGACGCTACAAAGACACTGGCAGCCATCTCTGAAGCCACTGTAACTCTGGCCGGGAACCTGCAAGGACATCGCCCAAGACCGAGCAGGGAAAATCGGCGACACATTCTACGATGCAAATGCAAAAAGGATGGCCGGCCAGTCACAAAATTTTGCATTGTTTCTATGGCTGTGATGTTTTAAAATAAACCTTGTCAGATATATGTTCGAATAGTAACTGGAGTCATGATGGATTTGAATTAACCCTCGGGGCTAACGCCCTGATATTCATATTATAAAAAACAATTGCAAACCACAAGCTTTCTCGTTATACTGACCTGAATTTTAGGTAACGAATATGGTATTCAAAGGTTTCTGCCTTTTCCCCCAATTAACAAAGCATTTGGTTGTTTAACTTCCCTGCTGCTATCACCGCCTGCTTTAATCTGGTCTTTCCGAGTGCTAGCGAGATGTCCTCGGGATACGGACCGATCGAAGATGAGGTTTCTGAAAGAGGTTGCTGTTACAGATGTGCGCACAGTAAAGCATGTGATCCTCATAGCCGTTTGCATCGCTACTTGATGTTGTTCTTTCTATGCTTCATGTCGTTTGGAAGTTACTTCTGTTACGACAACCCTGCGGCAATGCAAGATATATTCCTGAAGGATGTGCACCTAACAGTCTCTCAGTTCATGAATCTCTACGCGTTCTACTCTTGGCCGAACGTAGTTATAAGCCTCCTGGGCGGTTTCCTTATCGACAGAGTTTTTGGCGTTCGTTGGGGTGGCATTATTTTCTCTCTGGTTATATTCGGTGGCCAATTACTTTTTGGAATTGCTGTCATGTTTTCGAGCGTTCCGCTCATGTACTTTGCAAGATTCATCTTCGGTATTGGCGGTGAGTCGCTTTCAGTTGCCCAAAACACTTATGCAACCGTATGGTTCAAACCAAATGAGCTCAACTTTGTATTCGGTTTGACCATAAGCATGGCGAGGATCGGCTCCACAGTAAACATGAATGTAATGCAACCACTGTTTTTCCAAGTGGGACGATCTTTTAACATAACAGGCCAAGTGCAAGTCGGAACAAGTCTTCTGATAGCTTCCGTAACATGTCTTCTGTCGGCCTTTTGTGCCGTTATGCTGGCTTACTTCTTCAAGAGGTATGTATTCTTGTGTCTTTTTAATCTGCGGTTTCAGAATTTTAACATCTTGATGCAACGCTTTTTGTGTTTTAAGTTTCAGGCGTGATGCACTGCTTGCAACTGATATGGTATTCCTGATAGTTCTTACAACCAATAAAGGTCTGGCTTAGAGAAAACACGCTTATAATTAGCATCCACCTGTACGACAAAATTGTGAAGTTGCACATATATCAGCAGCAGATGCAACAGCAAAGATTAGGTTCAATACAGCTCTCCATTAGGGCATAGGCTATCGTTATTTAACAACACGATAATTGCAAACAAACCCTCAAACTGGTACACAAACTTGTTTGTTTAGTAGAGGCTTTGTCGTCTCGTGAATACGTCACGAATCAGTGTAATTCATCTTTCGATTTTTGTCTCAGTTGCAGTCTTAGGAGGCTGTTTTGGTTAAATTCACGCCGACGCCGTCAAAATGTTGGGCTTGTAAACTCAAATACTTTCGGTTATCGGTAGAGCACTCGTTCATCCAATAATATAACAGGGGCGTCTGCATTCGTTTTGGTGGTTTTAGTGGCCCTTCTTATACCCTTCAGTGAATACCGGAAATCTGGCAAATTTGTTATGTCGCCTACAAAGGAGGCTTGTTTAATTTCCGTTACTATCTCTCGCCAATATCGCTTTCGGTCAGTTTTAAATAACAGTATCTTTGAACTACGCGGTACTCTAGAGTTTAGATCTTTGTCGATCTGGACAATACGCTCATCGTCTCCCATCTGAGCGCTATTCTATAGTCTTTGGGCTTGCGCATGCTGTGGCGCAGATGCGCAATGTCTCGATGATGCCGTTCTTGAATAAGATTCACTTCCCCACAATGGACAGCAGTTTTTTCTTTGAACTAAAGCAGTCGTTAATAACATGCTAAGAGGGCAGCTGACTGTTTCAAGGGTCGTTGTTTGTAAAGAAGGGGCTTTAGCGAGCGATGTGGCTTTCTTGTGCGCTTTTGGACTTGGGCGTTTTGACCATCCCATCATCTTGTGGTCTGAGTTACGTTTGCTAGGGGGTCTTTGCGACGTACTGAGTGGAAGGCAATGACTGCACCTTTCCAGCCTTTATTCACGAATAAAAATTCATTGCGTCGTCATTCGAATACTGTGTCGGTAGTTATCTCTGGATGTTGTAGCTTAGCCGCAGTCACGCTGAAGTTGACTGTTATTGCCATCCCTATTTCCTGTAGCAACATTTCCTAAGGCTCAGTTAAAAGCTCAGAAACGTGTTTCTTTTATATTTTGCCGCTGCATGATAGCTGTGAGGTTTTTGGCTTATCGGTGAGTCACTCAGCGCTCCCTGCGTGCTTTTCACTAAATACCCGGTTTAGGAAATGTTGATTTTTCATTTTCTCAGAAGCATTAATTAGCCAATTGAAGTGCATCCGTTTATCGTTCACCAGCCGCAGCTGGGTAACCGAGTAATATTCATTAAACTGCAAACGGGCAGTCGGTGGTGTACATAAGGATTACATGATACCCCATATTGTCAGCATCTGTACTAGCGTGTCCCGCCTAAATTTTACCGCGGCCTGACATAGCTGTGAGGAGTGTGTCCCCAGTGTTCTCTGCGTGTTTTCTGATAGATACTCCTATAAACTTCCAAATAGATTTATTTAATCCGACTTCGCGATTTATTTCTGAGGAAATTGAAAATCAACAGTAGTTAGGTTAGTTCTATCAATATGTCTATTCCAATCTCCTGTAGAAATCGGGATGTCACTGGGAGAGATGAAGGGCAGCATTTTAAAGAACTCGCCTTTTTCACGGACACCCGTGTTGACCCTAACGCCGTAAACAACATCTGCAATTGGGTTGATAACTCTACCTTTTAGACCTATCTAGGCAATGGAAGTTTACCTGCTTTTATATTGAGCTCGGCAACTTGGCTTTCGATAGGCAGGCCATGCCGGTGCCGTAGCTAGCCAGGGTGCGCATCATCGGGACTTGTGCACCAGGTCTTTTCGCTCCTTGATGAAAAGTGAGGAATGTTGCAAACGCGTCAGATTGCACGAATGCTGTGGAACGAGTAACATTCAGTAGGCCTTTCAAATTCATGTAGATTGACAGGGATATGATTCAGTCCAAACGCGGTCATATTTTTATGCTTTTTCGGAACTTTCAGTAAATTAATTCTTGGGGTAGCTGCTCTTTGGAGTTATTTTGCAGCCTTTGATCTGAGCAAATGCAAAACTTTTGGACTGGTTTGGGTTCGAACAAAACAAATAATAGACAAATTAAACCGTTGTTCATAATTCATGAAGAGGTTGCACGTCCTTTTTCAACTTTTCATTGAGTAGAATCGCGACTTCTTTCACTAAATCCAGGTGGAGCTACGTATATTGCATGTGTGCATTTGTGAAAAACACAAGAGGGTACTCATGCTTTCA